CGGTCCTCCTATGGCTCGCGTAGCTGCTCTGAGCTCAGTCGAGTGGCTTGGGAACCTGGGGGGGAGAAGAGACGCAGCTGGCATGAGGACCCAGAGTGTGTTGGCTGCGAAACGTAGCATCACACCCCGAGGCTGCTGGGTCTCAGCTGACCACAGCCCATGCTGTCTCTGCTGCGTTTCTACACGGTGCTGGACACTTTCCAGCAGAGAAGTCCCTTCCCAGCCATTAGAGAAGGCAGTCAGCAGCATCTCGTTAGCCCAAGAGGTGATCTGGGCCGTTTGCTGCTCCGCAGGACGGATTCACCACATCGCACACGCGCTGCTGAGCCAAAATGACGGCACCGAAAGGCGCTGCCGTCGCATTAACTCTTTCTGTGCTGTGTGGGCTGCTGCATGCCCTCTGGCCTCACACGCGCTGGCCAGGGCCTCGCTGGACCCCATCCCTCAGCGGGTGGAGGGGCCGCAGCCTGGCCCGAGGGACAGGAGCGAAACCCCGCGCCAGTTCCGCACGAGAAGTGGGATCCAGGCTTCACCCAGCCCCTGTGGCCGTCACCTTCAGGTGTTTCACAAGTACCATGCATTTATTCCTGTACCCGCTGCCGGGGGCTAAGTGATTCTGGTATCCCGCTTCACGCGTGAGGGACTGAGATGCAGAGGGTAAAGCCCTAAGTCTTGACACCCAGTCTGACACAAGTACTGCCCGATCCTTTGGCACCTTGCAGTAGCTCCTCTGCTCGGAGCAGCACTCCCTCTGACTTCGGCTGTGGGCGCAAACACCCGGTGTTCATCTAAATAGATCCCAGGGCCTCTCGTTTTGGGCACGGAGAAGAAACAGAGAGCACCCTGTGATGAAGGTGTAGGCCGGTGGCTGCGCAGCGCTGTGGGGCGGGGGGCCAGAGCTGCCCCCCTGCGCAGGGGAACACCCCCCCCAGCGCTCCTCAACTGCGGGTTTTTGCAAGGTCAGCATTTGCCCTGTGCTGCACAGCCTGGCTCGTTAGAAGCATAGAATCGTGGGATGGTTTGGGTTGGAAGGGACCTTAAAGATCATCTAGTTCCAACCCCTTGCCATGAACAGGGACATCTTCCAAAATCCTGTCCACCCTGGTACGGGTGAGACGGGGGGCCGCAGGCGGAGGTGAAGTGCAGCCGTGCCACTCACGGCCCGTTCGCAAACACACCCAAAAGGGTTAAGCTGCTCTTAAATAAAGCAGCCTTATTTCTGGCGTTGGCTGCGTTTCCCAGGCTTTGCGGTGGCACTGTTTGTTCAGCTTCTGACGAGGGGCTGGGGACGGGCACGGCTCCCGCGGGGACGGCCCCGTGTCGGCGCCCGGCATTCGGCTGCATCCG